GGGCAAAAACGACGTACGGTGTTGGGGGAGAGCGAAAAATAATTTATTGAGTAGCGAAAAACATACAAGCCCTTTTAAAAGTCAAAAAGTGGTTTATTCCCCATTGACTTGACGCTTTAAATAGTTGTATTAAGATGCTCGGATGATATTTAACGAAATAAAACATAAGCCATAAGGTTTAGCGGGAATTGATCATCAATTTAATTGGGGCATTTGGCCTTTGTGACCTGACCTTTCGTATCAAAACCGTCTATTCGTCGGTGCTTATTTTCAATGGCTTGTCTGTGCTTTGCTGTGAAACATGCTCATGGTATTTCATTCATGAATGATATTGTGTTTATTTGATTTACTAATGCTCGTAAAATTTGAGCTTTGGCTGAAGTCATATTAATTTGAATAATTATTAGGAAGCGTCATATCCGCCGATTCCCCAGGGTCATGCCCAGAAACTGTCAGCATTATTCCTCGGTTCTTGTTTGTGTGATCTGTGTTTTAATGGTAACTTTTCTGTTCCGTTGACATTATTTGAAATTTTGTTTTAGGCGACAATGCTAAAGAAAATCAAAATGCGCCGCCGCAATACAGAGTCCTCGCTGGTATCCACGGAAGGCGAGTCGACCCGCGACTGAGAGTCCGCACCAGCGCCGCCCCTGCCCTCCCTCCCCGTCCGCCCTGCCCCGGCCCCTCGCTGTCGCGCGCGCGCCGGCCGCCAGGGCGGCACAGAGGGAGCATGCGACCACCTCTGGTGCCGCCGCGGCGCGCCGCAGTCTGTGACCCTGCCCCTCCCCCTCTCTTCTTTCTCGCTCTCTGTCTGTGTCCACCCGTGCGCGCGCGGCGCCTGGCGCGTGCAGGCCACCATGCTGAAGAAGCTGAAGTCGACCAAGCTGCGCCGCAGAAGCACGGAGCCGAGCCTGGGCGGCGGCGCTCAGCTGGTGCCCACGGCCTCCTCCCCGGCCGGCGAGCGGGTGTGACCGGGCCGCCGGCGCCCTAGGAGCTAGTGGTCGGCGCCGCCGCCGCCCCAGTGGGTGTTAGTTGATGTGTGCACAACCCCGCACGCCCAGTAGCGGGCAGCGCACACCGGACTCGCGCCGAGCTTAGGTGTGTCAGTATGTGGTGGGCGCAGTGCCGTTTTTGAGGTATGTATTTATTTGTTACGGCCATCGGCGACGCTTGCTGCAGACGCTGCCTTGTTGTTACCATAGTCTTAAATATCACTTTGTACGCGAGTTTACCTAGATATTCCGTAGAGCTTGTCAGATTATTTTTATATGTCCTTGTTGCGGGCGAACTGGCCCGCTCACAATCGGTTTGCGCAACAGTGGGACGGCCCGACAATCGTATACGCGGCGACATTCCAGACGTGCGGGGCGGCACCGCGAGCCGCCCCGGGGCACATGTCGCAGGTCACAGCGCCGGCTGGCGGCGTGTCGTCGCCGCCGCTGCGCTCGTGTAGCATTGTCTCCGAACGGTATATGTTGTTCCGGTTGATTTCGAGACAAGCTCCGAGTATGGGATATTTTCTCACACCCCTCACCTAGTCCGTGTCGGCGGGTCGCGCCGCCCCAGAGTAGCCGGCCGTCGGCGCGACGGCGCCCCGACAGTGCCAATCTTACTGCTTGTCTCGTGCTCACTGTTCTGATGTACCGTGCATGTATAGGTGTTAGAGTAGCGCTCGACCGCATGCCTCCCGCGACCGGTGGCGCCCTGCCAACATCGAATCGGCCGCCCCGGGCCGCTACCCTCCTGTCCCCGCCGCGCCGCGCCACTCCACAGGGTCTGCCCCCCTCTCTCTATCTCTGCCCGGCTCGCGCTGTCCTCGGCGGCACACGCCGCCTGTGTGTGCGTCCGTGTGGGTGGGTGTGCGAGCGAGAGCGTCAGCGAGACGAGCTGGCCGGGCGGCGCTGCCGGTCGACGACAGCGCCGCTCGGCGGTCGTGGTTGGAACCAACCACACCATCGGGCAGTGCCGGCCTGGGGCTCAGTTGTTGTGTGGCAACCCATCCGTTCCACTCAACAATACGCCGGCAAGGCCCGATGGCGCGAACCGAGACAATCTCATGTTTTCTATGTGTTGTACGTAGGGTTGCAGTTTCTGATCGTCGTGATTCGCTGGCGTTGGGTTTTAGTGTGGCGTGGCGCTGTTGGGCCCGGCCGCCGGTGTGTCCGTACTCGACTCGGCTCCGCCGGCCGGCCTGGCCCGACCAGCGCCCTTTCGGTTGGTTTTTTATTGTTATGTCTGCAATAAATATACCAGCTGTACCCGGTCGTGTCGGGCCAGAGATCAGACTGGGCCGGGATGGTGGCCAGAGCAGGCTGAATGCCAGCTGTGCGGAAGAGCCATGCGATGCAGGGTGTCTGCGCAGAAAACCTAGGTGAACAAGAAGTAAGTACACTCCTTGCTGCTCAATGAACACCTGACACTGTCTATTTTCCACAATTTGCACTGGCCAACACATTACATGGTTTTTAACTACACATACATGCAATAACGATAGCAAACACTCTACGAAAATAACACCCTTTTAGTTTGCAACTCAATGTTTCCAAGTCTTTCATCGTGTGATGAAATCGGAATAGAAATATTGTACGCCCGAGCGTAAGAGGAGAGGCAAGACACTCGAGAATAATTGCCGCCTTTGCCGCTATAATGCGGTAGATATGAGCGCCTGAAGTTATGCTGTGCCGCCCGGCACCAGCGGAAGGTGCCTACTAAGACTGCCGCTAGATGGCGGGGACGCAGGCGCCTGTGGGTATACTGTGCCGCCTAGCACGAGTGGGAGTGGTTTAGCCGTATTCTCGCTAGATGGCAGTGGATGTAGGCGCCATCTGTTTACCACAATTGACGCTAGATGGCAGTAGAAGTAGGTGCCTGAAAGTATACTGTGCCCGAACACCGAGTTTATCATTGCTGTCACCAGATGGCAGTGTAAGAAAGCGCCTGCTGGTATACTGTGCCGCCTAGCACAAGTGAGAGTTGTTTAGCCGCACTCTCGCTCAGGCAGTGGATGTAGGCGCCTGTGGGTATACTGTGCCGCCTGGCGCCATCTGTTCACCACAGTTGACGCTAGATGGCAGTAGAAGTAGATGCCTGAGAGTATACTGTGCCGCCGAGCACCAACGAGCTTATCACTGCTGTCACCAGATGGCAGTGTAAGTAAGCGCCTGCTGGTATACTGTGCCGCCTAGCATCAGAGAACGTTGCCCGCATACTCTGCGCTGTGCATTTGAGTCGGCCGTCGAATAGGACGTCGCGAAACGCGAAAGACGCCGAACAGAATGTAACGGAAGATCCGTGCAGCGTGCTGCCAGAAACGGGGTGAACATTTCGAAAATCTGCTCTTAGTGCCGGGTGATAAAAATGACATTCTTTGTCTGTACCTACCTATAATGACCACCGTTTGCACTTTAAAAACGAAGTAGGTACCGCCTTGTGAATGCCAATGTTAACAAATAATAGTTATACTACCTTGCCTTTTATTGTTCACTCATCATTTATGGTCAGCCGATAACTAATGACTGATCGGGCGGCATCACGAGACTCGTCTGAATGGATAGACATTAGTGATAAGTGTTTGTAAAATCGCATAAGCGTAAGAGTTATTTCATAACGATCAACTGATTCCAAAGGTCCCAAGGTGAAAGGCATCATCGCCTCCCTCAACTCACTAGCAATTGACCATTTCAATTCGTCATTATATTGCCGTAACGCGTAACGCGCATTACCTATTAACCCTAGAACGCCTAGGGGGGGGGGTTGTATCAACCCCCCCCCCCTGAGGTTTTTTTCGAAGTGCACGCTAAACGGCTTGTCGTAGCGGGCTGAAATTTTCAATACCCTCTGGGGCAACCTTTGCGCATCTTTTGCCGAAAAAAAATTGATCGGGTCATGTCAGGTCACGGAGTTATGACGTCATAAGAGGCTACAGCCTCCGGCCGACAGTTACCAAACGTGTGCGCCGAATCCCTAGGTTTTCTGCCGGTGATACCCACATTGTTTGATGGATCATGATGAAACTTCCCATGCATGTTGGGGCAAGCATTGGCTATCGTGTGGTGCAAGAAAATTGACCGGGTCAGGTCAGGTCACGGAGCTATGACGTCACAAGAGGAACAGCGTCCGGTACTATTTTTGAAAAGCGCCCGAACCACTATTTTGCTAATTCTTGTCACCTCAATGGGAATATGCAGCAATATTAGCTTCTATAGGGAGCAAATGGACCTCCCAAATCCAAAAATACAATCAGATTTCAAAAATTTAAATTTTGATTTTTCGAATTTCTGCCGCCGACTGTGACCTTGCCGACTTCCGGCGCTCCCAACGCGCCATTTTTAGAGCTAGGGAAACGAAATACATACCAAACGATAGAAAATTGATCAAGGAACACGATAGTGAAGGTTTCAAGTCGATATCTCCCACCGTTTTGCCGCAATCGCCGCGGATAGTTGAAAAAGTTTGATTTTTTCGGAAAATTTGACCTTTGACCGGTCATAAGTAGGTCAAATGTTGACCTAGGACCAAAAAATATACCACCAATCGCGAGATCTCGTTGAGAGCAATCCGTTGTTTTTTTCCGCTAAGCTCTACGACCTTCCGTTTCGAAACGCCAGGGGGGTCGTAACAACCCCCCCCCCTGGTCGTTCGTGTTATGAGAAATGGCCTGGTCGTGCGAGGGTTAACACGTTGACGTAAAGTGTCAGGATCAGATAGAAATTGATATAATTTACATTTACGGCCCTGCTATAGACAAGGTGATGATATGCACCATTTGTCTTGAGAAGGAAAAATCTGAGGTTGCTGCTCCCAACACGGGAGGAGACCAGACCAACGGAATCCATTTTAAAGGTCAAGGGTCAATTGATGACCTTATGTACATACACGTTAGACTCATAGCTAAATATGGGCTTTTCGTTTTCGACGAAGCACCCGGCACCCCCCCCCCCAAAAAAAAAACGATCGCAACGCAATTTACCACTCAACATCCGACTGATGACACAAGCATATTATAAACATAAATATATTTCCATTAAAAAGTGTTATAATCACATCATAAATCGACGCTAAACAGCTTGAACTTCTTGAAGTACTTTTGCACCTCGACTTTCGGTGCCGGCTTGGCGGCCAGGCAGGTGGGCACATCCTCTGGTTGTTCCACCCACAGCTTGTGGTCGACGGCCGCCTCGCGGAGAGCTTCATGCAGCCGGGTGAGCGCGTCAGCGTCCGGCGCCGCCAGCACCACCTTGTGCATGTTGTCCACATCTGACAGGTAGGTCTGCACGTGCGGGTCATCTTTGAAGAGGTGCATCACCGCCGTTGTTGCGTGGCAGGCCTGGAAGAGTTCGGTCATTTCAGGAGAAGCGGATGCTCGCCAACGAATATTGTGGAACGGGAAAATTGTACGCCCTGGGCGGTTTCTCTACCAGGTAAAAACAACTAGAAGCTGAGGTTCAGAAGCTGACCAAAACTCAAAATAATGAGAACTGATTCACTGTCTTTTCAGACGATTCAAAAGTGAAATCAGATGGGACAATAATAAGGACAGAAAAAAAAAACTAAAAAATTAAGAACATATACAAACTTGTGTAACAGATTACTTGGTATCCTGCAAATACACCTTAGAAGAAACATCGTAGCTTGTACTAAAGCTGGCAAAGAGCAATGTTTCTACATAACACAAGCTCTCAGTTCCCCTGGCATCCACATCTTAACATGAGACTGAGCCAGACAGCAAAGAGTTTGACAATTTTGACAATGTCTTGTCAGTGCAGGCTCAATCAGCCAGTGCATATTTCCATGTGGTGGTACAAATCGTGTATGTTCAAATCATGTGTATCCAAGTCCTGTCCAAATCATGTGTGATGCAGTGCAGATATTAGACTGAGAGTTGAGACAGTATGCATGAGGTACCCACAGCCATAGTGGCATGCTCAACTGCAACAGCTTGTAGTTTGTACCCAGGTAGTGCCACAGGTGTGGCACACATGACATAAGTCTGTCACAGGTGGGAGGCCACCATCCCAGGCTTGGCACAACTACCTACCACAGACAGTACCAAAAACTCTGCAAGGAACACCAGAGAGCCAGTTGTTCTTTTCTCTCAATCTCAACTTGATTAAATAATTATATTCTTGATTCTGCAGCACAATATGTATGCCCTCTTTGTTGCTGGCTCAGGCAGATTTCAGCCTAGTCAGTGTGGTCTCATGCATATTTTTTTTCTTGCCAGGTGCTTCTGCTATCCTGTGTTGATGTGCAATGCTTAGCTAGAATGCTGTTACCTTGAACATGTGAAAACAGGATGTCATTGAAGTGAATAGGGATAGGTAGGTACCTAGATAGAGGGGATTTGGTTAATGTGAAGATGAAGTCCAAGTAGATAAAAAAAAACATAATCTAACCTGACCTAACCTTACCTACAAGCCTACTTATGTTCAACCTACCAGCCTACAATTTATGGCATTAGTAGAGCAGACACCACACAAAGGCTGGATTTCCAAATTCCAACCAAGAGTAGACGCTGTAGGTTTGTAGGCTGTAGGTTTTAGGTTTGTAGGTTAGGTTGTAGGTAGTACTCAGACTTCATCTAAATCTTCACATAACAATAATGGGAAGTCTTACCTGAGCGATGACAGCTCCAAGAGGCCATTTCAATGTAGTTATTAAATCTGACCGAACTACAACATATTGGACAATTGAAGATGCCATTGCTGGACCCTTGTCTGTTTCCAAAATAGGTACCCAATGTCAATAGGTATTAATATGGTATAGAACCGGTAAATTTACGCCACCAGCCACGATATTATCGGCCTCTCCAGTGATAAATTAATCAGCACACAATACCATAAGTAAAAAACAAGCACACCTTAAGACCACATCAACAATGGATGTTTAAATAAATGGTCAAATCAAATACAGAGTCCTTATCATTATGGCCTACAAAAACAAAAAATGGACACGTACTACCAGGGTATATAGAACAACACGTACTACTGTAAGATGTGTACAATTATCGGGGTTACATGAGCACAGTAAATACGTATTTAGCCGCTAATTCGAATTAGGAACGCATTACCGACTCATGTAGCCACCTGCTAGTACGAATCGGCGATCCGATCCGCGGTTACATGAGCAAAGCAAATACGTATCACGATCGGATTCACCGCTAATGCGAATCAGGAGCGTACTACCGACTCATGTATCCACCTGCTAATACGAATCGGCGGTCCGAACAAAATCCGCTGAGAAAGAGGCTTAGAAGCGAATAGGACCAAGATACGTATTACAGGAACTATTTCTTCGCAAAAAGAAACATTAAAATGCAAAATAATAGGTATTTTTTCATTTTCTTCTTTTGAAATAATATTTAAAAAATATGTCGGTATTTTGTCAAGTTTTCAACAATAAATAAAGTGAAAACCAAATAGTAAATATCCACATAATTTCAGTTGAAATATTTTTCTGACAGCACTACAGACGAATCAAGAGAGGCAATTGCCCAATGAGTCAAAACAAGACAATTTTATGTTCAACTTTTTTTTGTTAAGTTAATTGAGAATGTTTTTAGCATATTAAATGTAAAAAAGACATAAGATAATAAATTTTTAATTTAGTCACCTCTATTGCTACGGAAGTGCGCCACATTTGTATGCTATTCCGTTTGTAATGCGCATCGGGCCGAGAGCCAAACTAGATCCGTTTGACGTCACTGATACGAATTTGCTCATGTAGTCGGTGCACTGAATGCGTTCTTGGGGAGCTGATACGAATTAGCGTAGTGCGTATTTGGAACGGATCGCTCATGTAACCGAAACGTCCGAGGCACACGATTCGGGCCGTATTTCACAAGAACTATTCTTTGCTGACTGGAAGCGTCAAAATGCAAAATACTAAGCATTTTTTTATTGGCTGCCTCGTAGAAAATAGCAAAAAAATGTTGGTATTTTGGTTTAGTCTTTGCATGTGAAATAAAATGAATGAAATATTTTGATAGATAATTTTTTCTGACCACCCTGCTGTCGCTGCATGGCGAATCAGTGCCCACTGACTTAAAACAAGAAAACTTTGTTTTCATTTTTTGATTTCATGTTAATTCTAAATGTTTTTGAGCCTATCAAATGATATAAGCATTTAAAATTTAGCTCAGTCGTCCCGGTAAATGCCGCAACTGCGCCATGACTGTACGCTAATCCTATTCCGTTTGTGATGCGAATTACCGGCCGTCGAGGAGTCAGCCCGGGTGAGCCAAACAAGATCCGTTTGACGTAGATAAAACGAATTAGTCTCATGTAACCGGTGCCGTAGATCCGTTTGTGGGGAGCTGATGCGCATTAGCGTAGTGCGTATTTGGAACGGATCGCTCATGTAACCCCGGTAAATAAGACACGTACTACTGTAAGATTGTATGTAACGGAAGTTAGCCCACATTCAGCCCACATTCGGCCCAGCCCAGATTGGGGCTGCCAAATCTAGGGAAAAATCTAGAAATCTAGGGAAAAATCTAAAAACCGTTTTACGCCTAAACGGCTGGACGAAGCTGAAAAATAAGACCACCATTTGAAAGATCTCTTCACCCCGGACCCAATGATATGGTTAAATACCGGATCAATTTAACCAAAAGCATGATTTAACCAGGATGAAAATTTTCGGTCAATGGGGCGGCCCCTACGATTTTCTTCAAAATCGGCATGGTGATACTACAGGCCCAGATGACCAATCTGGCTGAAGAAACCCCTATGGGCATTGAAAGCTATGGGGTAAAAACGCCCTTGGAAAGATTTACCCACGCATTTCTGGCAAGACTATCGCACGCATCCCCCCAACATGGGTATCATATGAAAGCCCATGAAAACCCAAACAAAATGGTGGGAAAAAATTTACCCATTACCCCATCCAGGGTCAAGTTTACCCAAGATGAAAATATTCGGTCAATAGGGCGGCCCCTACGATTTTCTTCAAAATCGGCATGGTGATACTACAGGCCCAGATGACCAATCTGGCTGAAGAAACCCCTATGGGCATTGAAATCTATGGGGAAAAAACGCCCTAGGAATGTTTTACCCACGCATTTCTGGCAAGACTATCGCACGCATCCCCCCAATATGGGTAACATATGAAAGCCCATGAAAACCCAAACAAAATGGTGGGGTAAAATTTACCCATTACCCCATCCAGGGTAAAGTTTACCAAAGATGAAAATTTTCGGTCAATGGGGCGGCCCCTACGATTTTCTTCAAAATCGGCATGGTGATACTACAGGCCCAGATGACCAATCCTGCTGAAGACACCCCTACGGGCATTGAAATCTATGGGGTAAAAACGCCATTGGAAAGTTTTACCCACGCATTTCTGGCAAGACTATCGCACGCATCCCCCAATATGGGTATCATATGAAAGCCCATGAAAACCCAAACAAAATGGTGGGGTAAAATTTACCCATTACCCCACCCAGGGTAAAGTTTACCCAAGATGAAAATTTTCGGTCAATGGGGCGGCCCCTACGATTTTCTTCAAAATCGGCATGGTGATACTACAGGCCCAGATGACCAATCTGGCTGAAGAAACCCCTATGGGCATTGAAATCTATGGGGTAAAAACGCCCTTGGAAAGTTTTACCCACGCATTTCTGGCAAGACTATCGCACGCATCCCCCAATATGGGTATCATATGAAAGCCCATGAAAACCCAAACAAAATGGTGGGGTAAAATTTACCCATTACCCCATCCAGGGTAAAGTTTACCCAAGATGAAAATTTTCGGTCAATGGGGCGGCCCCTACGATTTTCTTCAAAATCGGCATGGTGATACTACAGGCCCAGATGACCAATCTGGCTGAAGAAACCCCTATGGGCATTGAAATATATGGGGTAAAAACGCCCTTGGAAAGTTTTACCCACGCATTTCTGGCAAGACTATCGCACGCATCCCCCAATACGGGTATCATATGAAAGCCCATGAAAACTCAAACAAAATGGTGGGGTAAAATTTACCCATTACCCCATCCAGGGTAAAGTTTACCCAAGATGAAAATTTTCGGTCAATGGGGCGGCCCCTACGATTTTCTTCAAAATCGGCATGGTGATACTACAGGCCCAGATGACCAATCTGGCTGAAGAAACCCCTATGGGCATTGAAATCTATGGGGTAAAAACGCCATTGGAAAGTTTTACCCACGCATTTCTGGCAAGACTATCGCACGCATCCCCCCAATATGGGTATCATATGAAAGCCCATGAAAACCCAAACAAAATGGTTGGGTAAAATTTACCCATTACCCCATCCAGGGTAAAGTTTACCCAAGATGAAAATTTTCGGTCAATGGGGCGGCCCCTACGATTTTCTTCAAAATCGGCATGGTGATACTACAGGCCCAGATGACCAATCTGGCTGAAGAAACCCCTATGGGCATTGACATCTATGGGGTAAAAACGCCCTTGGAAAATTTTACCCACGCATTTCTGGCAAGACTATCGCACGCATCCCCCCAATATGGGTATCATATGAAAGCTTATGAAAACCCAAACAAAATGGTTGGGTAAAATTTACCCATTACCCCATCCAGGGTAAAGTTTACCCAAGATGAAAATTTTCGGTCAATGGGGCGGCCCCTACGATTTTCTTCAAAATCGGCATGGTGATACTGCAGGCCCAAATGACCAATCTGGCTGAAGAAACCCCTATGGGCATTGAAATCTATGGGGTAAAAACGCCCTTGGAAAGTTTTACCCACGCATTTCTGGCAAGACTATCGCACGCATCCCCCCAATATGGGTATCATATGAAAGCTTATGAAAACCCAAACAAAATGGTGGGGTAAAATTTACCCATTACCCCATCCAGGGTAAAGTTTACCCAAGATGAAAATTTTCGGTCAATGGGGCGGCCCCTACGATTTTCTTCAAAATAGTATCACCATGCCTGTACATGGTGCCTGTACATGCCTGGCCTGTAGTATCACCATGCCGATTTTGAAGAAAATCGTAGGGGCCGCCCCATTGACCGAAAATTTTCATCTTGGGTAAACTTTACCCTGGATGGGGTAATGGGTAAATTTTACCCCACCATTTTGTTTGGGTTTTCATGGGCTTTCATATGATACCCATATTGGGGGGATGCGTGCGATAGTCTTGCCAGAAATGCGTGGGTAAAACTTTCCAAGGGCGTTTTTACCCCATAGATTTCAATGCCCATAGGGGTTTCTTCAGCCAGATTGGTCATCTAGGCCTGTAGTATCACCATGCCGATTTTGAAGAAAATCGTAGGGGCCGCCCCATTGACCGAAAATTTTCATCTTGGGTAAACTTTACCCTGGATGGGGTAATGGGTAAATTTTACCCCACCATTTTGTTTGGGTTTTCATGGGCTTTCATATGATACCCATATTGGGGGGATGCGTGCGATAGTCTTGCCAGAAATGCGTGGGTAAAACTTTCCAAGGGCGTTTTTACCCCATAGATTTCAATGCCCATAGGGGTTTCTTCAGCCAGATTGGTCATCTGGGCCTGTACTATCACCATGCCGATCTTGAAGAAAATCGTAGGGGCCGCCCCATTGACCGAAAATTTTCATCTTGGGTAAACTTTACCCTGGATGGGGTAATGGGTAAATTTTACCCCACCATTTTGTTTGGGTTTTCATGGGCTTTCATATGATACCCATATTGGGGGGATGCGTGCGATATTCTTGCCAGAAATGCGTGGGTAAAACTTTCCAATGGCGTTTTTACCCCATAGATTTCAATGCCCATAGGGGTTTCTTCAGCCAGATTGGTCATTTGGGCCTGTAGTATCATCATGCCGATTTTGAAGAAAATCGTAGGGGCCGCCCCATTGACCGAAAATTTTCATCTTGGGTAAACTTTACCCTGGATGGGGTAATGGGTAAATTTTACCCCACCATTTTGTTTGGGTATTCATGGGCTTTCATATGATACCCATATTGGGGGGATGCGTGCGATAGTCTTGCCAGAAATGCGTGGGTAAAACTTTCCAAGGGCGTTTTTACCCCATATATTTCAATGCCCATAGGGGTTTCTTCAGCCAGATTGGTCATTTGGGCCTGTAGTATCATCATGCCGATTTTGAAGAAAATCGTAGGGGCCGCCCCATTGACCGAAAATTTTCATCGTGGGTAAACTTTACCCTGGATGGGGTAATGGGTAAATTTCACCCCACCATTTTGTTTGGGTTTTCATGGGCTTTCATATGATACCCATATTGGTGGGATGCTTGCGA